CAAATACATTTTATATTTTTAGCACATTATTGATTTTTTAAAACTCTATTTAGCTTCATTTGGCCTTAACCAAAGATAACAGGAATTAGCAACTTTGAAAGGTTGAAAACAAAACCCTCCCACCTCCCACACATGCAAACACATACTATATCCTCAAATATTTTACAAACATTTATTGTATATCACAAAGGGTTAGGAATACATATTACATGTCTGTTCTTACCTGATAGAGCCCAATAGTTTTGATGCAGCACGTCCAACACAAACACTGTCACTAAAGCCTTCATTGAATCCCTGTTGAATGGTTGATTCTTCACCACTGTCTAATCCTTCTCTATAACCAGCCTAGAAATAATACATCTTGTTATTCCCATATTAGAATCATAATTGCCATTCATATCACATATGAAATGTATATGTTGTATTGACTGCATTCCAAACATCATTTCATGCATAGGTACATGTATAGTTTAAATCTTTTTCACTTCATATCGTCATACTCAGTACAATAGGCTACCAGAGTAAGTAAGTACCAGAGCACAGATTGCATAATTCAATACAAAGAAATAACATTAAACCAAATTACAGATTAACCTAAACAAACTATTTTTTCAAACAGTTAAAGCCCATAGGTTACTATGTCTACTCTAGTAACCACAACATCAAATGGATAGTGAACCCTGACCTTCTGTGAGCAGTAGCTGCATCACCTCTCAAAGGAGTTTATGACCTTTAAACGTAAAAAAGGCCATTTTTCTTGCGTACTTTATTATTGCGACCTAAACTGTGGATCTCCGATCTCGACACCCCAACCCCCTGYGCCCCAATCCTCTCTCGTTGTGACGATTTCATAGAAAAACAAACAAACCCCTTCAAAGATAAGCATTTTAAGAGAGTAATATATTTACAATCTTTACGGGGCTCCACGTAAAGAAAGTATAACAACGAAGCGGTAGTTCTTAATCTCAACTTTACTGGTGAACCGGCCTGGTGAAGTGTAGCTGTTACGATAAAGTTAAGTGTATTCCGCGTGTTTACAAACTACTTTATTTATCTGTAGCATGRATTTTACAGAAGATGGTTGTTTTATCCAATAAATAAAAAATAATTACAGTAAAGTACCTTCAAATGGACGTTCTTCAAACGTCTYAAATCGATGTCCAAATCTTCATCGCACTCCAGATCGTCCGCCATCTTGAAATTGTCTCACTTCTGCGCTTGCGCAAATTTCACCCCAAAGAATCACAAATGTTTGGCGATTCAAAATGGCGCCGACTGATGGCATAACGATGTAATGAAACGGATCTGTTTCCATCCGTCTATTTCTTCGTTTAAATGTCTTCGTTATAAACGATTTTTCAAGAAGAAATTTTCACCTCTTTATCTGAGTGATTTTTTGAAGRATTAAGACATGTGAATGAGAGTAAGCGCTAATTATTCTCGAGATGCCGAGTTCTCGACATGAAAATGCTAGTAGTAGCCCCAATGCTCGAAACCACAGCAAAAACAAAAAGTCCTCACATAAAGCAAAGAAACATAAAAAAGTAGTGAAGCAAGTCAGCCCTGATGTAAAACTAAAGGGCCAGTATGAGGACATTTCTTCTGCTTCTGATCAGGAAGGGCAAGTGCTCGAGCGAAAGTATAGCTCAATTTCTCGTAGCCCCTCGCCGGCAGCGGCGATAAAAAAATCAAAATCTAGCGAAAAGAAAAAGAAGTCCAAAAAGGAAAAGGATAATGTGCCATCTGATGCGAAGAAGAAAAGGAAAAAGCGACCCAAGACATCTCAATCTGACGTAGCAAATGTCAGACAAACATCATTATCACCAGTGTCTAAGTCAAGATGGAAAGACACTCCATCACCACCTCCAACGACAAAGTTTACCAATAAACCAACCTATGGCCGCCTATCACCTCAACAGGAAGGATTTACTAAGCCAAGAAAGGCAGGATCAAAGACACCTCCTCGAGCTTACAGAGCAAGATCTCCTAGTTATAGCCCAGAAAGATCACCTCAGATGGTGAGATCACCATATCATGCGAAGTCCCCTCAACGTACTTGGTCTAGATCACCTTTTGAACATAAGTCAAGATCACCTATACGTTCACCAGTTAGACAAAGATCCCCAATGTACAGATCTCCACAACGATCACCAATTCTATCACCACTTAGATATTCACCGTATAGATATAAGAGAAGGACTTCATATTCTCCTATCAAAGGACCAGTTTCTCCATACAGAATGCAACGTCAACAATCTAGATCACCTTCACCATACTGGAATTCTAGAAACCGCAGTATATCACCGCCACCATATCGTAAGAATCGTAGGTCAATTTCTCCATACAGAAAGTCAAAATATAAAAGTAGGTCTCCCTCACCGTACAGAACGTCAGGAGGTAGAGGGCGTTCTCCAGGGAGACAGCCAAGGCCTTGGAATTCACCATATAATTCTTCAATGAGAAAATCTAGTGGTTCAAAGAATTCGGGACAAAAACAAAACTATACAAATAAGGATAATTATGATGTACGAGAAAGAKGAACATCAGAGTCAAGGTCAGACTCCAAGAAATCAAAGCAATACAATTCAGGTAAAGATGTTCATGATGGTAAAGGCAAGGACTATTATTCTAGTACAAGTGATAAATCACATAAAAGTACAATAAAACCAAGCAAGGACATACCACAATCTATAGATAAGAATTCTCGGCAAAAACCAGAACCCAGTTACAATAGAGTGACAGCACTTAGCATTAAGGATAAAAAGTTTGGAACTCCAGATTCAATAAGTACTGAGTCYACAAGATCAAGACCTGGTTCAGTACCAAGGAACACACCTCCTCCACTGCCTTCTCATACTGCACCACCACCACTACCTTCTGACGAACCCCCACCTCTTCCTCCTGATGAGGACAGACCTCCGCCACCTCCAGCACCAGCTTTGCCTCCTTTACCACTTCCACCCGAGCTTCCTGGATCACCTAGTGATTCTCCTATGGTCTTCTCACCATCTCCTACTAAAACTGGGAATACCCAAAACCAACCACTGCATCCACCATTACAGCCTTTAAAGAGGAGGCAGTCTGCTTCAAGTAGTAGTGGTACCCCCATGTCGACACCTGATACCACGCCCAAGACCCCAGCAGATCCTGAATGGGGTGAAAGGTGTGTTGATATGTTTCAAATTATTGAACAAATTGGTGAAGGAACCTATGGACAAGTTTATAAAGCCAAGGATAAAATTACTGGTTAGTTGATTTATTGTCTTTATTTTTGTATTTTTTTTCCTGTTTCTTGTAATTTCTTACCTTTAAGATCATGGTGAATGTTTTGTTCTTTGTCTTCTATATTAATGACAGAAACAATTGTTGATCTTTAAAAATAGACATTTGCATGAAAATTATTGATTCTTTTATTTTCAAATGTAAAAACATAGACATTTTATATTGTCTTTGTGACGACAAGTTATGTGTGGTAGACAGTGCATGGAGAAATGGAATTCTTCCTAAACGATGGAACCATGATTCGTTATCCATCAAAAATCTTATGATATAGCTTGACTCTCTCTGCAAATTAAAACATATTTCTGTCAATAGTCCTGCATGTTTAATATAGCAGTGAATATATATTTTGGTACTTTACATGACTATAAAAGATGTTTAGAACTTGAAACAACTTGCTCAACATACTTCACTGTCTAAGTATGTTAAAATCTGTTTTTGAATATAAAAAAGCTGTACTGGTTCTGATAATATTTGAAAATTCTAAATTACCTATTTATACAGTTGTATGCTCATTCCATTTCATAAATTGCAATCTAGATAGTTCTATTTATTTTATGTCTTGATGTGAAATTAGTTTTAAGTTTGGTAGCCAGAAACATATTAAAATAATCATGATAATTTATTGTTGACTGGCTACTCTTCTACATAAATCACTGTTACAATTTGTRCTAAACAGGTGAGCTAGTTGGTATGAAGAAGGTCAGGACTGATAATGAAAAGGAAGGATTCCCAATCACTGCTGTTCGTGAAATCAAGATTTTAAGGCAACTCAATCACCCAAATATCATTAACTTGAAGGAAATTGTAACTGACAAACCTAATGCCATGGATTTTAGAAAAGACAAGGGTAAGGAAGCATAGTTAACTATCCAAACTTTTAAAGTGTATATTTTGTTCATTAATTTGTATTTCATTTCTTAGTATTTCATTCTTTTTACTTTAAAATTGTATTTTGCATTTATATGATATCTTTTGCTCAATTTAGGTGCYTTTTATTTGGTGTTTGAGTACATGGACCATGATCTCATGGGTCTACTAGAATCTGGCCTTGTGCATCTAACAGAAGACCACATTAGATCCTTCATTCGTCAGTTGTTAGATGGGCTTAATTATTGTCATAAAAAGAACTTTTTACACAGGGATATCAAGTGCTCTAACATTTTACTGAATAACAAGTAAGTGATGCATTTTAAAGTATGAAAGAATGATTTTGCAGTCACATTAGGAACAATAGGTATCAAAATCAAAGTGAATTTTAAGYAAARGTTTTTCTTTTCACTTTAAGGGGACAAATCAAACTTGCAGATTTTGGTTTGGCAAGGCTTTATGAAGCTGATGAACGGTATGTACTGTCATCATTTAACGCCAGGTGGTGTGTGTTTGCTTCAACTGAAACTTTACAATAATAATAAATTGCTTACTGTAAGGTGGTTCAACATAATAAAATTTGTGTAATATCAATGCCTAAAATTTTTAGGCATTGATATTACACAAATTTTATTACATTGGATTTGCACATCTTTCTTGCATGAAAACTATCAATGAACCAAATAGCCATGTAATCTATTTGTTTGTTTATTAATTKTTTTATTTACTTTTACAGGCGTCCCTACACCAACAAAGTAATTACTTTGTGGTATAGACCACCAGAGCTACTGTTAGGAGAGGAACGATATGGACCTGGCATTGATATTTGGAGTGTTGGGTAAGTGTGATCAACATTTTGTACTAACAGCAATAAAGTCACTAAGCTACCTTTGCTTGTCGTAATAATTATAAATGAATTATTAATCAGTAATTGAATACTTTGTGGAATGGTTCTTTAGCAAGTTTAATATAATTGTTATTAGGTGCATTCTTGCTGAATTATTCACAAAGAAGCCAATWTTTCCTGCATACCAAGAAATTGGACAGCTTGAACTAATAAGGTGAGCCAGCACTGTTTGAGTTCTTTATTAAACTCAATTGCTTATTGAGTAACAATTATGACAACATTTAATGTATTTTTCTTAATCTGTTGAACTGGAAACTGTTCTGATTTGAACTAATAATGTCCGATTGGTATATTTGCTAGATTGCAGTTGTACTRAAACTCTTATTGTTAGAATAATGATATAAGGAACAGGCAAGACAGCAGTAATAAACAGTAAAACTACTGAAAGTTAACTAATGATGATCATTTATATGTGTTTATAGTCGAGTGTGTGGAACTCCAACCCCAGCTGTATGGCCTAGTATTATTAATCTGCCTCATTTTCACACCATCAAGCCAAAAAAGCATTACAGGCGACGRGTGAAGGAAGAATTCCAATTGTAAGTATATTTGACTGATAAAAAAGTAATGAAAATATTTGTTGAGATCATGTTRTTATCTCAAGGATTATAGGTGTATAAATAGTCACCTAAATGTATGTAAAATTATTTTATTATTATCATATGGTYATAATTATTATAGTAATAATAATTTATTTGGCTCAAGACCCCTTTCCCACTCTTTGCCTGTAGTTATTTGGAGTGAATTGACAATGATCTAAAGTCATGATAATAGGTGCAGGGAGGGGTCCTGGGCTGTGCCCCCTCCTCCTCCTAAACTGACAGATGTTTGCTAACATTCTGAAAGGTTTTTGTTTTGTTTTGTATTGTATTTATTTTATATATGACACTGTGCAACCCCCTGGGAAAAACCCTGGATCCYGTCCTGAAATGTCATCTATTCTGATAAATTTACTTGGATATTTTCAACAGTCTTCCATCTGATGCCCTGGACTTGTTTGACAAGATGTTAACTCTTGATCCCGCCCAGCGTATATCAGCTGAGGAATCCCTAGAACATCCATTTCTCAAGAATCTTGACCCCAATAAGATCATACCTCCAAGGTAAGTCTTATTATAATGTAATGATTGATTGCTTTGCTAGCATCATTTCTGATAGTTTCAATTATTTGTATTTATGCAGTCTTCCAACCTGGCAAGATTGCCATGAAATGTGGTGTAAAAAGAGAAAACGTAAAGCTGAAGGAAGAAATGTTGATGATGCTGCAAAGCAGTCGAAGACAGAACTCAAAGAAGGTGAACAAGAACAAATTACAACTTRAGAACCAACCAACATGGTAAATCAACCAGATGGACCCAGCAGCAGCAACATCAAACAACCAACTGATAATGATTCAATAGCTAGGAAAGAACAATACACAAAAYCAAACYTACAGGACTCACATACTGAAAACATTGATGGCAAAGTAAYCCAATCATATCAATCAAAGGACATTACGGAGGTTGATCATTCCAGACAACTTAAGGCAACATTCGAATATAATCACTCTTCTAACTCAGGATCAACTGATGGTCCACACYTCAGTGAATACATAGAATCAGCTCAGTACGAGCAACTTTCACCAGCTTCAGATAGCCAGTCAAGTCGACCGTACATGCAGGAATCAGAGTATAGAAGTTATGGATATACTAAAGAGTCCAGAGAAAGTCAATATGAACAATCTTCTAGGTATGAAGAGAACTATAGATATAGAGAACAGTACAAGTATCTTCATGAGACAGATCGCAGCTCATACTCTGGTAATACAGCTCGTCGCATTCCAAGTCCAAGAGAACGAAGTGATGCATTTCTTAGATGGTAGTTTGTAGATTATTAAGATTTTACAAATCYTAGATGACAGTTTCTCCAATGCTTCAACCATTCAATGGGCATGAATCATRCTTGATGTGAATCTTTAAATCCATTTAACTGGTATCATGTGAACCTCAAACTTGTAACATACATAGCGGGCACTAGAAATGTGCACATTTAGAGTTACTGTCAATATTACTGCAATGTGGCACAATCTGCAATCAGCAATAGACTGTGGTCAATCAAAACTATTGAAACCAACCAGATGTTGATTTATAACAGTGTATTGTTGCACATTGCATCTTCTGTCTGGATTGGTCACATATCGCTGCTAATGACAGTTAATGGTTTTTGATGTTTCAAGTGTCYGCTATGACKAGTTTTATTGTGAGGTTTTTAAGTTGAAAAGGAAATAGTGGGGCAAGGTACACAAGGCCATTGTTACAGTGAGTACACTCTAACCAGGATCACTTAGAATTAGCCACTCAGTAAAAACAGGCAGGGATTAAACTGATTACAGAATTAACCAATCAAACCATGCTGCTCTCACAATCATTTAAATCTTGAAATGAAAGTATCAAAATGATTGTTTACATATCAAAATAGCTGTTTAAGTTATCTGGTTAGAGTATTCTCACTGAAAGTCAATCAGAGGAATATTTCTTTTGTTGTTTCCTTTTCTTTCTCTTAAAACATCAAAAGGTTTCCCAACATCAYAAAGTTTAAAGGTGTAAAAATCTAAAACAGTATTTGTTACAAATCTCTTGCTTGGCAAATCTTTTGAGCATCAAAAATCTTGCTGTTTATTGGAGGGAATACTGTATGCTAAACCTGCAAAACAAAGTAATGACATAATGGAAATTGGTAATTGAKCACATGTATTAGAGGGTGGACATAAGCAAACCCATGAAAGAWGTTTTAGTGAGCTTTAGTGTTATTTCGACAGGTTTAGTAACTTCACTAAAAATAAACAGTAAAGTCCAGTCTGTGAGAGTGGAATCATATCTTGAATCATTACACATCTTTCTCTTGATTCCTACCAATCCTGCATTATTGTTATTCGAATCAAGTGGAGTGTTGTACAGATGACCTGTTTGTGGTTGGAGTTCAAAAGTGTATTATATATTTTCATACTTAGTTAACAATTAGTTGTGTACTGAATTTATAAAATACAAATAAAAAATCTTTTTAGAGACAAACCATGGATTCAHCTAGTGGTCATTATGATACCATAATTATAACAAATTATGGATGACAGCAAATAAATTAATGGATAAATCATGGACTCATGAATCAATRGTCAAAAAAGCAGGTAAAAATTTATGCTTTAAGACTTGCAGAAAGAGCCCACAGTCTTTTGACCTGAAAAGCAGGCTGTGGGAGGGTATGTATAGCCTTGTTGTATTCAAAATTAATAAAATTCAGAAATTTTCGAGTGATTTTCAATTTCACTTCCATTTGCCTTGGCCTCAGTTGTAAATATTTCCTCCAAGAGCATGTTGAGACTGATTTTGAACTGATTTTGAATGTTAACAAGGTTGTAATGTTGCACCAGCCGTAACATACTGGATATTTACATATTCACAGTAATGAGACCTTGCTTATGGTCGGTTTGTTTATCGATTTGTTTTGTTTGTTTTAATTTTATACAATTATTGATTACAATTCTAAAATAAATAATAAAAAAGTAGTATTAAAGGTTGGACTGCCTGTTTTTTGTTTTTGCTTTTTCCCTCAGATCTTGGGTTACCTATGGTATGACGCATTTATTTCAAGATGGCGGACGAAGAGGACTCAGTTGAAGAATGGAATACAGGTCAAAATGAAGTAAGGATTCGCTATAAAATATCAATTGTATCAAAAAATATTGATTGATTGGCTTCTTTTTTAATTTGAAAGTTTTATTTTGTACAATAGGACGACTTTCTAGCTGAATTACTTAAAAAAACTAGGGGTTTCAGTGAGAGCTCCTTGTCGTTTTGATGTTCAAAACTAATAATAATATTGTACCTTGTAATCTTTTATAAATTGAATTACCTACCACAATGTAATTGAAAATCTAATCTTTTACTGTAGTCGGATTTGTTTTTGCACTGAGACAAAGTAGATAAAATGTTGATGCATAAAAATAAAGATTGCATCCAAACAAGTTGACTTGCCATATTTAAGTACAAATGTGTTATCTATACTCACTTTTGCAACAATAAATAAAATGACCAAACTGATTTATGGTAGCATTTCTATGATAACAAAAGATATTCTTTCAGCAGTTATCACCCATGATGCAAGCTAGTGTACAAGCTATGGTGGATTTTGCTCAAAACAATGGTAAGTAAAATAATATTTGTGCAAATAGACTTATTTATTTTGACGATTTATTTTGTTTCCACAAGGACTTGGTCTATTACAAATCTTTTGAAAATCTTACATTTTATCTAGATTCTATTTCTTTATCTCTACTATTTATTGATATTGATATTTTTTCTTTCTCAGACTCTGGTTGTATTAAAGAAGAACCATCCAGTCCTGATGAACAGTTTAGAAATTATAATAATGGTGAGCTCATCCAATGATACAATTTATTGAGATGAATGACTATTAATTTGGTTTTGGTGTACCTGACTCTTTCAAATGTCTTCAGTGTAGTTTTTGTTGTTATATGAKATTATGAGTTAATCATTTATTTTGTTATTCACTTTTCATTGCAAACATCAGAATAATGGTTATCAATATTAAGCAAGTTTTAAGTAATAATTACAATGATAATTTCAGAAGATAACGATGATCCAGAGACAATGGAAGCAAAGCAAAACAGAAGGGTAGCACACAGTGTTGCTGAACAGAAACGCAGAGATGCCATAAGGGTACATAGTTATTGATTCAGTAGTAATCTAGACATATCCAAACTAAACTTCTATTAGCAATCATTTTCATATTATATCGTTTTATCTGCATTTATGTGCAATAAGTGTTTTGTTTTGTAAGTAAGGCTTAATTCTCATTCTTTGTTGGTTTTTAGAAAGGTTATGATGATCTTCAAATGGTTGTTCCACTTTGTCATCAACAAAATGGTGCAGCAGGAAGTCAAAAGCCCAGTAAGGCAGTTATTTTACAGAAAAGTAAGTCATTTTAATCATAAATATATTTAATGAAAGAAGGGCAGTTTGATGTTATAGTAGTCATTAAAGAAGTGATTTGATAAAGCACTAACTTAAGCCCTGTATAAATATTGTAATTACATATTGGTTACGTTTTGCAACTTTTTTCATCACCAATTATTATTTAAACAAAAATTACATTTGCAGTTAACAGCTAATTCGGCACAGTTTCAGAAAATGTTCTTACTAATGTTTTACGCACTCATATTWTGTTCTAATAATATGATGATTTCCACAAGAATAATGTACATAAATATGACTGTATTATATGTTTTGGTATGTTTGTTTAGCCATTGACTATATTGGATACATGATAAATGAGAAAAAGAAAAATGACGAGGAACTTGAAAAACTGAGAAAGGAAGTGATGGCATTTAGGATAATGAAGGCGTGAGTATTAAAGTAATGATTAGAAAGTMTTTTTATATTTTCCTCTTGAAAAATATGTCATCATGATCATTATCATCAAAGGGTATTACCTTACTATTATTTCCTTCATTTTATTTTGCACTTTTAAAAATATTTGCAACTGGGAAATTAAGAATTTGTAATTGCTCAAAACTACAATATGCAGCATTTATAAATGAATTTTGGTAGCAAGAAATTTCTAATTATATTTTATCATCCTTTTCATTGTTTAATAGAAACTATGAATCAATCGCCATTGCWCACCAAAACCAGGTAACAATATTTTATGTGTGGCATAACATTTTGATTATACACAAAATGGTAAACTACTTAATCAGAGATAGCTTCCACAGGAAGCCCATGTAATTAATAATATACCTAATATATAGGACATTTGCATGATAACTTTACTACCACTACCAGAAAGCCTTGCTCAGTTTCTTTATTATTCAGATTTTTAATCTCTTTGATATAACTTGTAGTAAAGCAAGTGGAATTACTTTAAAAGGAAAGTGAGCAAACCATTCTCTGGTAGTTGCAGTACTAGTATATGACTCCATCATGTAAATCWCCCATTACAATTACGTTAAAAACAGTAAAATAATAATTTACAAGTTTCTCTATTATGATATTTATATTAATTGTTACAACTTTAAATTGTGTCTATTTTATGTAATTTTCTGTGGCTTCAGTCTATTGAACTAAGTGTGACATTTCATTATTATTATTGGCATGTTTAACATGGTCCTTATTATGAATTTCAGCCCAATCCAGGACAACAAGCAGTTCCTGAACAAATCAAGTTTAATGTGGTTAGTGAAAGTCAATATTATGAACTATAATTTTCTGTTATTATTTTGCTGTTTTCTAATGAATGACAGCAGCAGTGCAGTGCTCCCTATCTGACTATTTTGGAAAAAAAGTGTATTTTATAATAAAATGTRAATTAAATGTTACGATGTTAATTTTAATTGCAGTTCAAGCAAGTGATGGAAAAGCAGTTTGCAACATTTGACTCAACAGTGAATATTACAGATTTTGATAGTCTTTCATCAGGAACATTTAATTGGCTGGAAGAATATTGTCAGCCTCAGGTATATKTCAATACAACATTTATAACACAGTAACTGATGATTAAATAATCAGCAAAGTGTGCTGCATGCCATGCCATGTATTCATTTTGATAAGCATTTGTTGTTTTTTGTTTCATTCCAGTACTTTACAGAATCAGTTTTGAGATATCTACGAGATCTCAGTGACCAGGGTTTGCTGCAGTCATAATTCAAGTAAAAGACAGAAACTATTTATTTCGAGTATGATGGAGGCAAATAACACAGCACAATATCCTCTCCTCTTTGTGATATCATACCAAAACAATTATGTGCTGATGCTATCGCTAGAATGGATACCTTGAGAAGCAGAGATATAGATTTACATTGTACAGCTAATACCATTTCAACAGCAACAGCATTCTGTGACTGGCATTTCMTCTAAAATCAAGACAGGCTCAATATATCAAGGCAGGACCTGTTTTCATCTCCATTGGCTTCCTCAGTGAAATTCCTTTTATTTCTTCAAAGATTTTCAAGATGTTATTTGTACTTCCATATTTATTAATCCTTCTCCTGTCGTGAACCTTCCAACCACTGTAATTACATCATCCAGTTCTCTGACCAGTTTGTACAGTTTCCAAATAATATTATTGTATTCAAGTGGCAAACATCAACAGTGTAACCCACACCAGAATGAACATCATGTTTAGTAGAGGGACTGCAGAGCCTGGGGAGAGGAGTATGCAGCCACTGCTCTTCCRCTTTCTTCTTATTTTCTTTTCCTCCCCTCTTCAATTCCCCCCCTCCCCTCCAACCCCTCCTTGAAGGATATTGGTAAAATAGTCACATAAACTGTTGGTACCATTTCTAAATGTTTTATTTTAAATACCTTTTAAAACATTTACACTCACTGGAAAGTGTTTGATTTGCCATCCTTCTCGTTTAGTGTATTCCTATGTTTCTAAATTGATTAATGTCAAGTATAAACAGATTTCATTTACAGTATTTTTTACATTTTTTAAAAGTGTAATTTAATTACATCTTTGTACAGCTAATGCAAGTGGCTTTGAATAAATAAAATACAGCTGTGTAAAACATCAGATATTATTCCTCCATGAAGAGATATATTAACTTAAACTAACAACAATATTATTGTGCAAAAAAACAATTTATCCATTCGACTACAATTTTTGAAGCTGTCAATTACACCTTCACTTATTATCAGGGTCCGTGAAGGTCATTAAATCCTTGAAAAAATCCTTGATCATGATGTTCCTTTAAAAAATACAATTTTGGTCCMTGAAATTCGTTTTTGATACTCTGCACGGACCCTGTATTATGTCCTAAACAAAGACAAAAATTGTTATTACTGAACTGAAGAGTTAAAAAAAACTTTGGATTACACACTACATATAACACAATAGAGTGGTTTTCATCAACCCGTGAAACACATTTTGGCATATTTATCGCTATTACATTTGGCTCTTTTGTTTTTTATTGTCTCTATTCGACTGTTTCATCTATTACACTCTAATTATTACACTTTGTTTCACAAGTTTATGAAAACCACTCTATTTGTGTGTTATACCATAATACCATGTCATTTGACAGCACTTACATACTACTAGTTTTCAAATTGATARTTTACAAAAAGCACCTAGAATTCCCATTCCTTACATGGCTTTTGCTCTTTTATTCCCGTGCCGTGCAATATAATTTTTTTCAGCTTTTTCCCCAAGGACATGTTTAAAGTAAGCTGCTACAATCTTTTGAGGCCTAGATTGAAACTCTTCATGTTGTTCAGCAGTCAGATCAACTTGATCTCCTTTGAGCCTGTCCAATAGTGTCACACACAGCACTGCAGCAGGCACACCAGCCCGCTTACACATAGCAGCAAAAGATACACTTTCCATCTCAATATTACATACTCCTGCTTGGTGGATCTTGTTTAAAAAGCTAAGTTTGTCTTCCAATGTGTAGTCACAGAAGGCTCCATCTAATCTTCCTTGACCTGCAATACAAAAATACAATTTGTCCTTTTGACCTTTCACTTCTTAAACATTCATTTAGATAAGTGCATTATAATTTAGTACCTTCATAAAAATCATTTGTGCACATTGTATGGGCCTCTACTATCGGAATATCAAGGTCCCTGCTGCAATCCATGAGTTTCTTTCTAAGACCTTCATCAAGTGTAGCTGGAAACTTCCTCACCTTGCCAAGAATGACCTAAGATTTAGACATACACATTGTAACCATAATATAGACAAAAGGAGACATTGACTAAGCAGTATTGAATGCCAATGTGTATGTCATAGCWAGGGTACTCCTAATCCCYGGGGGGTAGTCCCCCCCAACTTGGGTGGGGGTGTGCCGCTGGGACCTCAAAACCCTGACCCTGTTCTAGAGTGAAATCGCTGAAAACTATACCCTGTTCCAGAGTAAAATCGCTGAAAACTATACCCTGTTCCAGAGTAAAATCGCTGAAAACTATACCCTGTTCCAGAGTAAAATCGCTGAAAACTATACCCTGTCTCAGAGTAAAATCCAGCACTACCTTGAGTGTAGACCGAATTTTTACCCCGTAAATTTTTACCCAGCATCAATAATTCCGGAATTAAACCCTGACCTTGTTCCAGAGAAAATTCATTGTAATTGATACCTTGTTTCAGAGTAAAATCGCTAAAAACGATACCCAGTTCCAGAGTAAAATKGCTGAAAACGATACCCTGGTTGGCGGCACGTCCTCGTATAGCGAATATAGGGGAGTACCCCCTGGGCTCCTAATTCAATTCAGATTTTGTTGGTTATTGATAGCTTGCTGGGTACAATGTAAGAGAGCTTATATTTCCATGCACAATTTAAAAAAAACATTCAAATGGCTTGCTATTCCATTACAATTCCTTAGTCCAACTAAGGGTTGTATTTAGTACATTTTGGAAATGATTAAGCCATTGTACCTGTTCATGATAAGGCTCCAATAAAGCATTCATTGATGACTTGGTTAAAACCACAGTTCCTTTCTCCAAACCTAATCCACCAGATGTACCAATTCTGAAGAATGACACATTTGTAGCTTTGGCATGGTCGAGTAGCTTGAGTGTTTCATGGAGTATGACCATCAGTGAAGGGTTTCCAATACCATGCTGATTAGTAACAAAACATAGTTTTTTTAGGAGATGATAAATTTCTTGTTTAAGCTCTCAACTTCATGTTTGTCACATATTTCCATAACTAAACCCACTTTTATGGCTTCCTAAAAAATTCTGAATGTCAACTCACATTGACAGCAAGCACTGGTCCTACTTTGTAAACAACATATCGGTCAGAATTGGACAGGTTTTCTGGATCTTTCTGGTAATCACAATGTAGGAAGGGACTTAATTCATTTTGTAGAAACTTGGCAAACTGTTTCATCCTGGTTGTGCTGCCACCCATGCAAACAAACTACAAAAAAATATATGATTTACCACTTGTAAGAATTCTTGTTGTTATAATTGTCATTACCCTAAAGTCTGTTTTCAATAAAACTGAGTACCTAAAATAACGTCAGTGTGGAATGTTTGTAGCAATGTACACTTAAGARCAATAGAATTAACATAACAGTCTTCCTTTAAATTGTCATCTTGCTTAAACAATGTTTTGATTCTTGTCTTAACGATTGAAATCACAAAAAAATGAACATTCCAGACATGCCTTGCATTTTTTCCAAAACCACTGTAACACAAGCAAAATAACGATGTTTTACAAAAAAACATCATATATCTGATTGTGCCAGATTTTTGATTTTTGACCCTGTCAACAGCTGTGATTGCAAGCAATGACAACATAATAACTTAACTGGCCTCATATTAAATCCCTTGTTACAACTATTAATCATGTATGTATTAACTATATAACAAAGCAGAGTGCCAGTTATTACTGTACCTAGCTAACCATCACTGTCCTTTATTTTTTAAGGATTTTTTTGATACTCACTTAAAATAACATATAAACAAGGGTAAAAAATAAACAATAGACTCCTTGCTGTGACATCAAAGCAGCTTTGTCTGGAGGACAAACAAAGCATTTCTGCTCTCTTTGGAACTAGAATCCATTGTTTTGTCCTCCAGTTGGAGCTGCATTACCTTAAACTSTAAAAGATTTGTAACAAACTTTTCTATTAAAATGCATGACAATCTTTCTTTTAGATAGCTGTACTGGTTCAGTAGGATGACAAAACCCCCACAGCCCCCCACTAATATTGATCACCTACGCCAACAAACTCATATTCTCTGTACGTGTGTAAAAAATGGTTAAAGTTAGAGCCCTAAGAAAGATGCACACAGCATTAACCCTGCAGTACTGGCCTCAAATCAAATAATTTAGCATGGATAGACCCATTGGAACACTGTATTCTATTTACATGCAACTACTGTAAATAATTTAAGATACCAACAAATTGAAATTGAAATTGAAATTGAAATTGAAGTACATATCCACTATTATTGAATGTTACAATTGCTAAAAAGGACTGGCACCTTAACATCGCCAAACTTCTCTTCAAGGTAACTCTCGCTGCTAGCACCGTGTATCCCAATGTGAAATAGAACATCGTCTTTTATGCTTAAAAGGTGAGGGTTCTTTACAAAATTGTTGCAGGTTTCGTCTTCAAGTTGTGTACTCATTTTGTGACCATAAAAACTGTAATAATAAAATTYSAACTGTGTAAGTACTTTAAAAAGAACAGCTTTGGTTTAGAAAATCAGCGTACATGTACGCTCGCGGCCTAATTATCTGATCAGCTCCATAGATTGAAGCGATCTCATCGTTACAGCTGTAAGACCAGGCGCGCCTGGTACTTATAAGTCTATAAGCTTTTCTAGAAATGTTGATGTGAAGTTTGTCGGAGTTTGCATATCAGTTGAGATTTATATTAGACAAATGCAACTCTACCTCGTTGATTCGCAGTTGGAACACTCTGACCTTGATCTTCTTGCGGGTTACCTGTGGTAATGCATACGTGTCTCACCGAAGAAAATTAGATAATTTTGATAATTTGTACATGGAGTAGAGTTGTACATTGTCCACGTTCGACAGTAGCAGAACAACAATGTTATTWTGTGCTATTCACTACGATTATTTTTTAAAAATCCTTCTATTTGTTTTTCTTTTAAGTCGAGAACTCTGACCCCCAGTCTCTCCCACTACCCAGCCCTTCCCGCTCCAAACTCGCCCAAAAGTGATAGAAAGTTCATGTTGCACTWGTTACATGAGCTTCATTTAGGAAACTTTAAACTAGATTTTAAAATAGTTATTAATTCGAACTCGTAACAAACTCCCACAAGACGTCAGGTTTACCACAGGAAGCCCATAAAAAGTTACTGGCTGTGGTGGTCATGGTCGAGTTGACGTCATAGTACTTCCCGTAGTAGGAATGTGCATGTAAGCATATTTTTTTTTGCTTGTAGCGCTAGCTTAGAAAGTCCAATGCCAAAATAGCTATGATAATATTTGATCACCATATTGCTATTATCTAATTGTTTAATCGTATCTTTGATGGCAACGAGTAGAGGTAAAGGAAATAATGGACAACGACAACCTTCCACGGCAGGTAGACATCGTGGTGGTAYCGGCSGAYGAATAACCGATGAGACTATTTTACCCCTAGTTGATTCGCAAACACCATCTAGGCAGTCGAATTTAGCTTTACAAAAGGGTTTGTATGCATTGAATTTTGTCTCAACAAGAACTAAATTTAAAAGTATAAGTTAAAGTTAAGTTAATACAGATGTAAAACCCAATTTCTAGTAAAATGGATCATCATGAGAAAACCACCTTTTGTGAGTAGAATTTGCCATTCTMTGRATTTYATATATCTGGCAGGTTATAATGCAAAAATATCTTCTCATTACTTGACCTGAAGACAGACAGTACAAATAAAACCAAATAAACAGAAGTAGCCTGATTTTCAGGSGGGCCTGGATCTGATGCTAATTCCTTTTAGCGTCGACTATAAAGTCCCATTTGAAAACCAGTAACAACAAGTGCAAACATACTGTGACTGGCTGATGCATGGTTTATAGCATATGCTCATGAACATTYCATAATAGCATCGTGCAATACATGTTCATTTTGCATTCTTTTTTTCCTTTTTTGCATTTTACAAGTTGTTATATTACAATTTGCAAATGATTACAAAACCGTCCTAAAGAAATAGAGCATTAATTGTACTTAGCTTGTGACAAGGAATAAATTGAAAAGATATTAATGAAAAGTAAGAGAAGTACATGTAGCCTTCAACTTCAGAAAATTTTCTTGAATGATYAGAACATTAGAGCAGCTGAACTCTTTGACATTGCATTATATTTACACAGAATTATTTTGCAACATTCATACAACAGTTTCAGGCTTGTTAAAAGGAACACAATGGTTTTAGGCAAAAGTTTTTCCATCTAATTCAGCCTTTTTGGGGAGTTTTTTCTTATGATTTTTCTAACACTGTATATTTTGCTTCATCAGCATTTAATGATTTGACCAAGAAATWTCGTAATGCACAAGATGAAAAATCTAAACTTCAAGCAGAGAATGCAGCTTTATATGAAGAAAATGAGAATCTAAAACAACAGTTGGAAATGGGTTACAAGGCATATGATGACAAATACAAAGAAACTGAAAAACTCAAGGAAAAACTCGATTTAAAAGAAAACCAAAATACAGTAAAAGAAGATAAAAGTAAAGATGATCAGGTTGGTTTTCAGTTTTCATATTCAAAAACATGATCAATATTATCCAAGTGACTTTTAGTAAATTTTCTATATCAATAGTTTTAGCTCATAGGTACTTTTTATTTAATTTTTACTTTTTTCAGGTAGCAGACGTTTTAGAAGTTAAACATACTACTATTGCACTGCAAGAAGCTCAAGAAATGTCTAGGTCAACACAAACAGATGAAGAAAAGACAGACGAAGTAACAATATCACCTTTTAGAAATCTTTTAGAAAAGTGTGGAATGGAAATAGTAACTCAAGATGGCAAAACATCTCTGATTCTTATTAATAGAGATGATTGTCAACACTGGCTAGAGAATGAAACCGATGGCAAAATTAAAGTAGAATTTGAAAAGGAACCTGTCACTGAGAGATTTGTTCAAACTGATGAAGCTGTTACTCAACATGTACAYACCTGTAATCACAAAGATATGATTATTTTGTTGAAAAATAAAATAAGTGATCAAGGTGATATGATAAAAGCACAAAGACAAATTATTTCTCAAATGCGKCAAAATCAACTTCCTGTGGCAGCTCAAAAGGGTAAGTTGTTACCAAAAGAACTTCCTTTTCGCCCATGTTGCTTGAGTGGTACAATAAATTTTGTGGCACTTGATCAAGGAAGGTACACAATGAATTAGAAGTTATAAAGTGATAACTGCKTTTCTTTGTTTGTACTTTAATTGTATACAATTGTATCATTTTTCCCAATAACGTATCTCTCTTTTTCTATATTTCCATTACTTTTCATTCTTGTTTTCATCAACAGAAAGCAAAGAAATCAAAATCAATCAGTTCCTTAAGAGATATCACCTAACTCTTGTTCGTCATTCCAGAGAAGTTTCAAATCAAATGAATTTGTTGAAAGAACAACTTGAAAGTCAGAAAAAATATACAAAGCGTTTGTTGGATATTATTAAAGGCAGCAAAGACCTTCCAAAGCAATTCATGTTAATATCTGAGGTAACTCATGAAAAGTTGAAAACTCAAGCACAAAGGGAAATAAAACAGCCTCCAAGTTTTTCCATAACAGCAGAACAACTAGAAGATGATGCTGAAGAAATGTCTAAACGTGAAGAAAGCAGTGATAGTGATTCTAATTTGTACAGTATTGCTGTTCAAGAAACAGATGAAACTGTGTTCAGTCTTGGTAGTGCCGGAAATGAAAAGTCAGCATCTGTTGTGATTCTCAAGGAAAGTAAATCTTCTGGATTGCCATCTTTACAAGGCTTAGTTGACCCTAARCAGAAAAACTCCTTTGATGAGAAAGAAGAAGCAAAACTAGTCTCTTCTACTGATCAAGACGAGAAGGCTGAAGRGACAGCCACTGGAGAAAATGATGATATTGTAGTCATTAATGAGGATCCCTCAGAAGCAGGGGGTGCTTCTGGTATCAGTGTTGGGGCCAAACAGTGCCCAGTTTGTTATATTTCATTTACTCCATCATTTAGCCAAAATGAATTTGAAGCGCATGTAGTAGCACATTTCCAAGATGAATGAAGTCATTGTGCCATGATAAACTCGGCATGATTTTTACAACTATTTGAACTTGAAGTGAAGAAGCCATTTATCAGAAATAAAGTGGTGGCTGGTCAAAACTTTGTCTGTCCAAAGAGGATTCGTTGCGGGCACTTTCTAGAGCTCCGGTCTTTTTGACCGATCAAACAAGACCTTTCAGCTAATTTAAAACTTTACAATGCCATAAAAAATATGAAATGGACAAAAATCAAAGAAATGTTTTGTGTTTATAATATTCTTGATCACAGCTGTAACTTCTTCTTTCACCAAAAGTCCAAAAAAGATAACTGTAACGAAAGTAACTAGTTTAAGACCCAGCTCCATTTTCCAGATACATGAATGGTTTTGTTGAAACAATTCTTTAAACGCTTCTGTTCRGGAAAAGCACCATCACCTTTTTAGTAACTAACTGAATTCCGTACTGCAGTTTAGAAACATAGGTGTAGAAACATGTACAATGAAGAACAATGAAATAAAAGAGAGGAAGACATTAATTCTCTGGCCGGTTATAATCCAAACAGGTTAAAGCAGCAAAGGGTAGATTCATGCATTTCTAAATCGTTCTATTACAACAAGAGTCCAACGGCACTATTACTGGAAATATCCAAACCTACTGATAAAAATTAATAGAGATATTCACATATAGAATAATGCCACAGGTATTAAAATGCAAGGGCGTATCCAGAGAAAAAGCCCATTTTGTGGCTTAAAACCATTTAGCCTCCCCTCCCCACTAAAATTTCAGCTGAATCCGCCCTTGAAATGGTTTTATCACAGGGCGCCCAGACTCAACAGTTGTATTGCGTGGTTTGCAGTTCGAGCCCTCAAGAAGCCGTACATTTTTTCTACTTTATTTCTTGAGACTTTTCAAGACTTTCTCTTTCTTTTTAAATGAATAAAGATTGATTTTTAAAGCCATTTTTTTTTTCTATTTTTATTTACGAGGGGGGGATATAAAAATGGCTTTAAAAATCAATCTTTATTCATAAAACTGTTTATACTTATTAAAGAAAAGAAAGAGAAAGTCTTGAAAGTCTCAAGAAATGAAGTAGAAAAAATTTACGGCTTCATGATGAGGGCTCGAACCACGAACCATGCAATACTTTGACACCGCTGTGAAAGCAACACAACTGTTGAGCCTGGGCACCTTGTGGTTTTATTAAATCATGTGCTTTATTTCCTTAGTTACTGGACTTTTCCCAGAGAGATGTGCTTTGGCCAAAATGTAGACCACTTTAGAGACAGCAAAACCGATTACATTTTGGCCGAATCATTGTACATTTGAATGCTAAAAATTACAATAAATAAAAAAAGCAATATCCTATTTTTTTGGACTCTCGACGTGTGAGTCTCAACTCTCGACCTAGACTCTCGACCTTGACTCTCGACCAAAACCCAAACTCGATCCCTTTGCTGAAAATTTATGTTTATCTCTATATGTTGCAACTAGAATTGAATAGAATAAAATTATATTAGAGAAATTTTAACACCATAAAATTATAGGTGAACTTTATGACGTGTTCTGACCAGGCCTGTGTTCTGACGTTTTGAAAGATCAGACAAGTTTACTTTTGTTCTTGGGTTGCCTGTGTGTCAGCTGATTTATGGTGACGTCATTGTAACTGGGAAGCGGGGATCGGAGGTGATCGACTAGATATCGAAAGTGAATGAAATGGATGTCCGTTTGATGTAAATAAGAGATTTTTGTTGGTGCATGAAGTGTTGATTCTCGCTATAATTAAATATCCAACTCAAAAATGTCGTATGGCTATACGTATCAAGACGATCCGGACAAATATGGCGCCACAGCTTCGGATCCGTTTGCCGACTCGTCGATGTCCTTCTCTGATGTTTCTATAAGAGCTGGTAAAAACGAATCGTTTTTGATATAATTAGCTATGCTTAATGTTTCTTTTTAAGATATTCAATCACTCTAATTGTGCTTTTTTGTCTTTTCGACAGGATTTATAAGAAAGGTAAGAAGCACTTTGACAATAATTAAGTACTTAGTAGTTTGTCTTCTCTTTGCAAGCTTAGTTTTCAAGTTAAGTTTGCTTTTGAAAATATTGGAAATCACTTAAGCTTAAATTTTGCCTGTGAGAGGGATTAACGCTGTGCATGATGATGTAGGAATAGCATTTTGCTTTCTTTTTTATCTGATGGAGTAGACTTATATAAGTTAATTCTGCTTTCTCTTCGTTACGTCAGTTCGTACTGACTGCGTTTGTTTTTGTAAATATCCTTCTTTCGCTTCACTTTAGGATTTTGCGAAAGTAGGTTCTTTATCATATTGTCATATTAGATATTGTGGAGACTTCTAGGTCATTTAATATGCAGAAATCAAGTAAAATCGTGATATGAAATTCCATTTTTTCGAAAACCAATCAAACTTACAAGTGGCGTACCTGTTTCTACTCGCAAAGTTTATTTACATTTTGTTATTAATTAAAATGCGGTCAAGACTTTATAACTATTGAAAAAATATAAAAAATGATGATTCTTCATACACAMTTTTTTATCGATGTAATATATGCAAGGATCATAATTGTGTCATAGTTGACATATAATACATTTAAATCCTGCGCGCCCGCCAAAAATTATTGGCCACATCAGATTATTTTTTGTGAAATACGAAAAAATAATTCCTTTATCACGAATAAACCATTTTAATACATTGGATGTTTTTGGCAATGCGCGGCTCCTAAGAATTAAAAGAACTGTTTTCAGCGTAGAATTTAGTTTTTTTCTACATAAAGAAACTGGGAAAGAAACCTCTGCATTAAAATTATTAATGTCAATTAGATTTTCCATCAAATGATCTATTTCCATAGCAACATCAGTATTTATAACAAGAAGGAAATTCCAAAAAATGTTGAACATTTTGTTAAGACCACCAAGGCTTATGCACCTCCAGAGAGCTACCACTATATTAGAACGATTTCACATAAGCGTTAATTTTTAACATGCAAATGAGTTATTCGAGTATTTAACATGCACATTAGTTGACACCTAAGCCACAGATAGCCCAAACGTATTATCAAAGGACGAGTTACATTGTTTATCAATTTTGAATTTTATTCAGTATCAAAGTTCGTAATAAATACAATGCATTCCAACTCGACTCAAGTTTTCAAGGTAACAACTCATCTCAGGTGTCAACTAATTTGCATGTTAAATACTCGAAAAACTCATTTGCATGTTAAAGACGCTTATGTGAAATCGTTCTATTTATGTTTCTAAGTCTTTCTTTGTTTCACTCAATGCTTATATGCTAATAAAGATTCAYTTCTTGTCATTAGCCTGGTGATGGTTTTGCAATAAAGAAATATAGATTCCCTTGGTTTTAAACATTTTTTGGTTGAATATCTACTTTAAAATCTTTTAAAAACATTTTCATATTTTCTCTAACTATCAACTTGACCTGGATTACATCCGTATCATTTAGCGTGTGCTTATTATTAAACTATTATTTCTAGTCTTTACACTTTTTCTTTTTCTTATCAACAGGTCTATTCTATACTACTGTGTCAGCTAGCTGTTACTATTGCATTTATTTGCTTTTTCCTTTATTGGTAAGAGATTTTCTCCTCTTCTCTTATTGACTATTTGTTACTTTCTCTGATTAATGTATTTTGGTTTTAGCGAACCAGTCAAACATTATGCTCTTAGTCATCCAGGGTTATTTTATGGGGCACTGTAAGTATTATCTCATTACATTTATTATTTTTAATATCTTATAATTAAGAAACATTGTGTTGGTATAACTGCATGTCAGATAAACTAGCATCATTTATCACTAGGATCATGTTCAACTGCCATTCAATGCCATTGTTTTAGATTTGTTTGTGTATACCTATTTCAAAAAAGGATGTTGGATAAAATAGCTCAATGTCAATTGACAAACAGCGATTGCACAACCAAACTTAGTAGCCATGGGTTTTGCCAATTGATGCAAAATAGCAACTGATTTATACCTGTAAGATAGTCTATTGTAATAAGTGAACATTTGTTTTGTCAAAACAGTATAACCATCATCCCTTTGACTGTACAATCTCTCTTTGAAAATCACTGTTTTCAGTTCTCCCCAACAATGACTTTTTGAAATAAGTGAATATGGGAAATGAGGYGACTTCAATATTTATAGTCAATCCATTTCCAGCGATCAGTTCGATCTTACAATACTTCTTGACATAGAGCATAACAGGATAATAAAGAGGATAAAGTCATAATAAGTTAATGCTTATATTATATGTTTTTTTGATTTTAAACATAGACAAAAAGTTATGAGGGATGACTTGACAATTAATAAGTTTTTCATGTTTTAGAGCTGTGACATTTGTTACAATGATTGCCATGGCTTGTTGTGAAAATGTGAGGTAAGTGATTAATTGGTCAATAATCAAAATGAATAATCAAAATGATTAATTTATACATTCAACCACTAAATAATCTAATTATTGATCAATTCATTRGAAATATCCATCCAGCCATTCATCCATTAAACCTTTTTTTTTCATTTACAGGAGGACTTTTCCAACAAACTTCATCTTTTTGTGTTTATTTGTAAGTTTTTTTTWATTGCAATTTACTATTTGTTAGTAGTTTTGTAAGCAATCATCTGTTTCATGTAGACRGTCTGCGAGGGCTATCTTCTTGGTGCTGTATCAAGGTGAGCTGTCAACAAAAKTGCATACATTATAGGACCATGTGTTGTTAGTTTAGAGAAACCATAAACTTTCTGACACTAAGTTTACTGTTCGCAGTGTTTACAACAAAGATGAAGTACTCATGGCTGCTGGGATCACAGCAGTAAGTAAATGTTTACTTGATATACACAGAATATATGACAAAAATAAAAGACTTTTCATTAACTTTTTCTTTCAGGTTGTTGTTCTTGCAATTACCATCTTTGCCTTCCAAACAAAGGTACAGCATCTAGACTGCTCTTGTTTGATATAATTCAAAAAAATGTGGCCAACACATTTAATAAGCCATAAGGCTTAACATTGAATCTTATTTAACTTGTTTACAGTTTACTTTTTCTACTATGCATAAATAAGATTTATTATAATTGATTGAAAACTTTTAAAATTAACTAGCCTTTTAAGAAAATGAATCATTTTAGATTTTTTTTTTGTTTGTTTGCAGTATGATTTCACCATGATGGGAGGATTCTTGTTTGTCGCCCTCATCGTTCTTATCTGCTTTGGATTCCTGACCATTTTCTTTCACAACAGGGTAATGTTCATTGATTACTTGAAAAAACTTGTTGTATTACTAACGTTTTTTAAACTTGTTGAATATGTAACGTTGAACTCAACATTACACCTACATATGAATTGTCTATTATAAGTTCAAATTTGTTCAACAATGTCTTCAAAATTGATTAAGACTTAATACACCTAAATATGACTGATGATCTTAATATGTTTGTATCTTTGATTTATCTGTGGCATTTACATAATTGTCCTTCTCTAGGTGGTGAACATTGTATACGCCGCTCTTGGAGCTCTTCTGTTTGCCTTGGTATGTATCATATACTGTACTGCATTAAATGRACTCATTGTAGAGWCAAGGGGTGAAAAAAMTCTTAATAATCAACAGCTAATAAGATTCCGTTATCAACTAAGATTTCATTAGGGTATGAACACAATGCCAGAAATGAAATTTTCTTTGTTTATGCCTCACTGAATTCTTAGTTACCTGATAACTATAATTGTTTCACACTTATGCGACATGCACTCTACAATCMGAAAATCTCTTTTTGACTAACAAACAATATTGCTTTGCTTTTATTTCAGTATTTAGTATATGATACACAGATCATGATGGGWGGTGGCAAAATGTATTCCATCTCTCCAGAGGAATATATCTTTGCTGCACTTAACCTCTACCTCGACATCATCAACATGTTTCTTTACATCTTGCAGCTTGTCTCCGCTGCATCAGGTGATTGACAGTAACCATTAGCAACATACAGATGTAAACTTTTAAAAAATAAAAATGCAGAATGACAATCCACATTACAAAAATAGGAAATTATAGTACTAATAGACAGAGCTACATTTTGTAGATGTAGGAAAATAGCAGCTAATTGTTAGTTGACGTTGTTTTCTTCATTTTTTGTTATATGATTTTGTCCTTATTCAATCCTTTTGTCTTGTTCTCTAATGTACACAAATAAATGACAATTCCTAAAATCTAGACTGGCTAAATATAAGCTCTATATTTATAATGTTTTTAAGTTCACACTAAAGTCAGTCAGTGACTATGCTTGTGACTATAAGTATGCTTGTACTAGAAAATTAGCGGAACTATAAAAATTGCAAATACACTGTTTCGTTAGTGAAATAGTGAGTKACGCTTGAGTGTAAAATAATCCATCCATGTTCGTCAAAGCTTTTAGAACTGTTAGTCCGCTCCAGCAGGTCGAAAGGAGGCCAGAACTGACCTACAAAGCTTTGTGTTTGCAAACTGTGTTCTTGTAAGTTTACTAGATTTGAATTGTGCAGATACATAGGGAGAAGAAAAAACAAATTATACATCGTTATCTGAGTGTACAAATATACTGTCCAGAAACTCTGGCGCATAACCAGACCAGAAATTAAGTCAGGAGTATGTAATTATTTTAACATTAAATACAAATTAAAAGAGACGTTGTATGTTAAAAAGAAATCCAAGAAGTACTTTAGATAAATAAAAATTACGTGACCTAAGTATTTTCTTGCTGTTTGTTTCAAACAAGCCTACATGCATGCAGAACTCTATTCAACTATGTGTYGACCCCTGGGACCCCTCCCTCAAACATTTGGATGCGCGTTTTTGCTTCAAATTTCTTATGTAAAAGATGAATACTTTCGGTCTATGCCTCGAGAAATTTATGGAAACGTTTCCCGCGATTTCTCGGATTGTTYAAAGAACGGAGATCCAGAACGTGTTGAACAGTTATTGTGCCTGTTTGTGTAGCAGATGTTACGTTCTATGGAGATACGTTCCGTGCAGGTGAGATGCATCAAGTTTCTCTTTTGAATATAGAAGTCATTAATAACAGCTTTGTTCTGTATTTTTGTATCAGGGCCGGCACGTTGGTCCTTTTTGGAGTTTTAACAAAGAAACTTCGCTACGAAATGTCAAGTTCTTATTATTCACATCGCCTTGTCATAAAATGGACGATAAAACAGCGTCGAAGAAAAATTGGACATGGCCTTAATTAAAGGATACAAGATTATCTGCTGTTGAAGAAAATACTGACCCTGTATATGTATATATAAATCTTATATATGTTAGATGTTGGGAGTGGTTACAGCTATAAGTAGATGATAAACGCATTGCTCTAGACGAATATGCCAAAGAACCGGAAAAGAAAAAAAAACGGCAAGAACGTCAAAAGCGTTATAAATTGACTTGAATACTATATTTATCTGCATTTTATTGTTACAATCATTTAACTTATCAACTTATTAACATATCAACATGCACAATGGCAAAACATTATTTCTTTTCCCTCGGAATAACTAGCCTTCTAAAGAGATCGTCCTGGTCCTCAACTGTCTTTTTTCGTAATTCAGGTAATTCTATCGAAAAGGAAAATGAATTTCAGTTATATCATTAAACATTGGGCAAAGAAAACAAAAATCGAGAAGTCCCAAAAGCATTTAAGACAACATACCATTTCTAGCACACTTTATTCTGTGAAATCTGATACATCCCGGACGTGGTGTCCTCTTCAGAAGCATCCTTTCAAAGTCGAGTTGTCCTTCAGGTTTTGCTGCAATCAGCATAAAGAGAGCGACAAACGAAATGAGTGTCAAAGGCTTCATCTCTGTAGCGACGCAACTGTTTACTATAGTCCTGTAATAATACCGTGTCTATTTTAGTTAACTCTTTATATTTCAGATGATACCTGATGACCATCCAATAGAATAAAGAGTTTCAAAATTGCTTACTATTCTCAAATTATTATTGTTTCGTAGAAGAAAGGCGTAGTTTTGTGAACAGGTGGTAACGTTACCATTTTCAAATTAACGGCAGTAGACATTTATGAAACAATTTATATTAATAACTTTCCATCGACAACGATTTTTTTAATTTTCGAATTGTTTTTCTACCTTCAAAATAATTTTGCATTAATTTTTGAAGAAGACGACATCAACATTTTTATTGCCAGAAATGCTGAACACTGATAGAAAAAGTATTTTCGGCCGGATTAACTTGAATCCTTTATAATTTTATGCATTCAAAATGAGACTACATCTTCTGGTTAGTTAACAAATTTATCGAATTRACCCAAAACTATATTCTAACGTACCAGTCTCAAATTAACTATCAGACATTTATATAACGATTTATACCGATTATTCAGTTTCCACCAGCGATAACCTTTTTTGTTTATAAGTGTGTTTTGGAAAAAATTGTTTTTTCACCTTTTGAATAATTTTCCATTAATTTTTAAAGAAAACATGACGAAACAATAAACATTATTTTTACGAAAAATGCGGCTGAGCCATGATGAAATAGTCTTTTTCTCCTGAAACGTTAGATCACAGCTCTGATAGTTTCCAAACTGGGCTATACATCATCAAGTTAGTTATCCGCAAATATACGAAATTTACCCAAACCCGAAACAGACATAACATATTTGAAGCCCTAGTCAGTTAGAAAGTATTTTACTTTAATACACTAACAATTATGCTAGACATTTGACATCTACCAGAAAATTAGAAATMATGAATACAGTTTGAGCCTGGGGATATTTATTGACTAGAAATCCAGTGTACAACTTTGAGAACAGTTTATATGGTCAAAAAAAAAATTCAAGAGATATATTGCGTATTTCGTATTTTTTGCTCAATGTCACTATGATCCATGATTACAACTATTTACTTCATCTCTCCTCGGGGAAGTTGATATTCAGATTGTCGAAATACTTATATGATTAGAAACCAAAACGGAAACACTTTATTAATTATTTAAGTTTAGAAATACAGTTAAGCATTATACCTTCAAATGTATTTTATGCATGGACATGGCAAGCACCTCAAATATTTTTTTTCCTCATTGATCTACTATACGAATGAAAGCACATTCATGAGTCTCTTTCACGTAGGATTTCTTAACGGCGCTTCGTCTTGTTTGTTCTCCAAGATCAGATGGCCATAATTGCATTGGTTATTAAACGATCCGTGCCAAATATAATTCTAATTACGGTCTCTGTAGGCACCAGTGAAAAGTCAATTTTCGCACTATGATAGACTTAACACTGCGTGACTTTTCATTAAATAAAGGGATAACATTTCGACATAACAAATGAAAAAAGGTCGTTTTTACCTTTTTCATGGAAATTCCAGAAAGATCACTTTAGTAGACAGCTCAAAGAATTGGAAAAAGAAGTCTACTAAAGCATCTTTGAATTTTAGAGTTAAAATGCTGAACCTTGAAACAACAGTAGCAGTAATTGTGCAATATCAAGCAGATGGCTGGTGGAGTTAGAGTTGGGCAGTAATCAGCCTCCCCTTTCCACTCCCATCTCATCTCTAGTTTGGCAGAAATGAGATAAACATGAGGAAGATACTTTAAAAAAACGAAGCAATTTGACGTGGTGGGGATTTGAAGAAAATAAATGACCCAAATTTAATCCCTTTTTTGAGGATGCTGATGAAGTGAATTTTATACTCATACAACCGAAATATAAATTTTTATCCTTCTTTTCTATTCGACAGATTAGTATTGTCACCTTAATTAAAGACTTATAATTAGACTTTTAACGTCTTGTTTGACATGGCTAATCACTCAATAAGTTGAAAAATCTGACATACAGTACTTGCATATCTTATGAAGGTGAAAACTGTTATTTTATATTCAAAATGTCACGTTGATAACTGGAATATCAACTGAATGACATGTGATGGACACCTTGTTCATAAYTGACTATCATTTGTTAAACGGTATACCTTACTTTTTTTGTTCTAATAATTACTGCTAAGGCAGTTCATGCGAGTTTTCCTAATTACGAATTTTAATTGAAAGTTCGACTAAAAATTTAATTTAAATATAAACGAGTATTTACTTAGAGGGTTTGTTAGCGAAAACTGCTCATTTTCARATGTTGATTGTTCCATAAACGTTCTTTATTGCTCATTTTCATTCATTCCCATGAGATTCAAAAGTCCGGCGGTTATGTTGGTTGAACTATGAATAATGATCCTAATAAGAAATCACTTGTTTAAGTTCTACCAAAATGGCCGCTGTGATGTATATTGAAAAAGATGGATTTGGGTARTGGTAAACGCTAACTGAGGTCGCTACCGCTACCGCGTCCCGTCCACCTACAATCATAGTTAATAGGGGGAGAAATCTCCCTCTATTAACTATTTACAATGCTTTGGCCCACCAACTAATGCCTTTCTTCTATGTCCACGTGGGTTGRAGCAAAATGACCATCTGATAAGAAGCTAAAGGCAATTTTTATTGCAATGTTCTACATAGATATTGATAGCACACATTCTATATTCTGGTTGAATGATAATGCACCGAAAGAACTGAAAACGAGCAAAAGAAGGATTCTCTGTTATTTCCTCTCGTTTTAATTCTTTCTTTGTCAGTGGTTTTTCAAAATATCATGTAGTATCCATACAACTCACTGAAAGAACGATCGGTCATTTTTGATTTATTACACATTAAGAAATAGTGTTAAAACACTTATAAAACATACTTTAACTCAACAAACTGGAAAATGTTTGAGCAACTAATTCATACATGTGTTCCAGAACATCCTTGTCAATTGTTATGTTATATGTCACTGCCACCTTGGCGTAGTGACTTGGTCATTGTCGCGAATGGACGAACGGCCAACGACAATGTCTCTATTGATACAGTATAATACTTAGACATGCTTTACTGTTACTATTTTCGTTTATTTTGATTGTCAGTCATCATCACAATCATCCATACATCCATCGTCATCACCGTCTACTCCGTCTCCTGAAAAAAACAACAACAACAGAAAGTGTCATTTTTCGATGAAATTAATATCAATGAATTTATTGAGTGAAGAWGACTCGGTAATAATCGCAAGTTATGATAAATATAAAGGTAAAGGAATGATACATGCCTGAAGTCATTGGCTGTCTATTACTTTTATGTGTACACATAACACTTTCAAGTTTGCAAACTGTGTTCAGATACCTTACGTTCTGTCTTCTTTCTATCTTATTGTAACCTTACAAGCATGCCACATGCCTTTCACATTGTAGATATGATCGTGCATTACCTACCGTGGTCAGTAGTGAAAATTTATATATTGCAAACTGTGCGTGATTATTGTTGATTAAGGTAATGGTACGAGAACCCTCCTTTGAATGCGCGTTTATGCAGTAGAGACAAAAAACACTTCTTACAATTGAATATACATTATCGTTTATTGATATAGTGATATCACAAATTATATGTACAACCATATAATAAAATACATCGGCAAGCAATGAGAACAAATARTCTATATATTTACAAACATTTTTTCTCTGACGTTGGAAAAGACTGAGTCGCCAAAAAAACCGGCGCGGATCTTAGGCTCGTCACATATATGTCCAGTGATTGAAGACTGCTGTAAAAAGTTTCTAAAACCTAGTAGTCTATATAATATCTTATATACTGACGGTGAGTTATATGTTATTGCGTAATCGAACTTWTAGGAACTCTCGTTGAATTTTTTTTCATCAATTTAAACGATTCGTCTGAGGTCCTGTACGTTTTGTTTKAGTAGTTGCCATCATTTTCACAGCGTTCTTTTACAATTTTGGAAGACCAAATCTTCTTATATAACTTGTACTAACATGTGGTGAGACGAACTTTTGGGTACGGTATGGGTTATTGTCATATCTACGAATTCTTCTGTATGGGTATGGTATATTGCTTCGCTTAAATGAACCTGGACCACAYCAACGATGTGGACATTCAAGAGCGCAGACATCTCTGCAAATACCCGGGCAAGAACTGCCATATGGAAGATCCGATATGTGAACGTTAGGTCGGGTTTCTCCAGAAGGGTTACCKGGATGAGGCCCACAGCATCTTCTAGGACAGATTGGCGCACATTTGTGGTAGCATAGTGTAGGGCAGCTATCCTCACTTTTTGGTTTTTGAATCTCGTTTCGCCTACAGCAGTACGCAGGACAGCTAGGCATGCAGTTGATTGGGGTGCATATAGGTGCAGCAGGACAGGCAGCAGSAGGAGTTGGGATGGCTTTTGTGGGAGGAATTGTTGATAGGGATGTTGTCGGAGGTTTCGTTGGTGGTTTTGTTGGACTGTAAAAAGAAAGATAGAACAGATAAACATAAACATTCCTGATAACACAKCCAAACAGTTGGCCCTTTTCATCGATTTTGGATGGATTTCAAAAACAGCCGGMTTGTTTGGGGAATTATTCSATGTTCTTAGAAGCGAAGAAGACAAATAATTCGAAACAGTGATGTCATGAGACTTATGAAAATAGCCAACAGTACAGATGTCTGCTGTCATCGTTGTCAAACATGCCATTGTTTATGTTATACATACGCATTCTTTCCACCAGCGCAGCATTTTTGGGGACATAGTGTCAAACAAAACTTCAAACAAATTGGTTTGCAGATGTCTGCCTGCAAGGTTCCTCCAGCAGGTGTGGGCTGTGCAACAGCTGACTGAGCAAGGTTTTGCGTAGATTGCTGATATGGAGACTGGAAACTACTTGYGTACGATGGATATCCAGCGGCATAAGAAGATGGCATGTAGTTTGGTGCTTGTGGATATTGATTGTACGAAGCTCCTCCACAGCACTGTGGTGCACATTGAGCGTTYCATGCAGGGTTTGCTCTTGCGGGAGCTGGTGTAGGGCGTGCAGGTGGTCTTACTGGTCGTGGTGGCGGTCTTGGGGCAGGTGATGGCCCACAGCAAGTTGGAGCGCATGAAGGTTGACACTGTTGTCCCATAGGCATTCCTGGCATTGGTGGAGCCATTGGCATTCCTGGCATTGGTTGTGGTGCCATTGGCATTCCTGGCATTGGTTGTGGAACCATTGGCATTCCTGGCATTGGTTGTGGTGCCATTGGCATTCCTGGCATTGG